CATCATCAACATCAACATCTTCATCATCATCCGCTTCCTCATCCTCCGTAGCATCACCGTCACCACAATCACCACGAACAACACCGTTATCAGCATCCCCACCACCATCACGATCATCCTCATCAGCATGATCAGAGTCATCATCAGCATCCACACCATCCTCATCCTCATCCTCATCCTCATCCCCATCCTCATCCTCATCCTCATCCTCATCCTCATCATCATCCTCATCATCATCCTCATCCTCATCCTCATCCTCATCATCATCATCAGCAGTAGCAGCATCATCAGCAGCAGCACCGTCTCCCCGGTCCTGCCCCGCGCCCGGCAGAGGAGCGCAGGACCCCCGGACGCGGGGCGCGCGAGACGCGCGCCCCGCCCCGCGCGGGCCGCGGGCCGCCTCGAAGCGCTCCGCCTCCTGGTCCCGCCGCAGCTCGTCGATCTCCTCGCGGGGAGAGGGCACCAAGGAGCCCCAGGTGGCCCCTGGGAGGAGGAGGAGGAGGAGGAGGAGGAGGAGGAGGAGGAGGAGGAAGAGGAGGAGGAGAAGGAGGAGGAGGAGGAGAAGGAGGAGGAGGAGGGGGAAGAGAAGGGGGAGGCGCAGGAGGAGGAGGAGGAGGAGGAGGAGGAGGCCGCCAAGAGGCGCCAAGAGACACCCCCAAAACGGCCTCCGAGAGGCGTCCGAGAAGACTCCCCAAGATATCCCCACAGGCATCCAAAAGGCCTCTGGCCTACGACCTAGTAGCCGGAGGCCACTGGTGAAGGAGGGAAGCAAAACATATAAAGGAATATAGGCGAACACAGTACACATGGGAGAGACAGGGAGAGGGAGGGAGAGGGAAAGGGAGAGGGAGAGGGGGAGGGGGAGAGGGAGGGGGGGAGAGAGCGAGAGAGAGAGAGAGACCGAGGCCGAGAGAGATGTAAACCAAGGCGAGAGAGAGAGAGAGAGACATATATCTAGATAACAGAGCATAAGGAGAAAACGAGACGGCGAGAGAGAGAGAGAGAGAGAGAAAACAAAGAGAGAGAGAGAGGGAAGGATATAGAAATGAGAGAGAGATGGATACGCTGCATCTGAAGACTGGTGTGGGACCTCCAGAAGCTAAGAAAGGGTCAACACACATGAAGAAAAGGTGTCCTTCCTAATCCTCCTCCTCCTACATTTCTACATTTCTCGCTATGCAGCGTCTTGTCGCGCGCCCCGCGGGCGCGGAGCGCGCCGCAGCGGCCCTTCAGGGCCGTGCGGGCACTCGGACAGCGGCCCCGGGAACCCGACCCCGAGGAAAGCAGAGGGAACCAGGGACCAAGTTAAACCTCAGCGGAGGGAGAAGGGGGGCCGGGTTTCAGCAAAAAGAAAAAAAAGGGAGGCCCGTCAGGGCCCACGGGCGGGCGCCGCGCGCGCCCGCGCCCGCGGGCGTCAGGCAGCGCGGCGCACGGCCAGGCCGTCGGCCTCTTTGTGGGCTGGCGGCTGCGTGGTGGCGGCTGGGCTCCCTTCGGCGCCTCGCGCTGAGCCCAGCCGCCGTGGGGTCTTCGGGTGGCTGGCTGCCCCAGCTGCGGCGGCCTCCACCCTTCGGCGCAGCGCGCTGTGGAGGCTCGCCGAGCCGCTCGTGGGCTCCAGCAAGTCTGCAGCGGCTGCTCTCGTCATCATGCCGATCAAGGCCGGCTGGCCTCGGCCCCTCGCATGCCACGCGAGGGCGACGGGGATACACCCTTCGGCGCCTGGCGCTGTGTATCCCTCGCCGAGGGGCACGCCGCCCCTTCTCATCGAGTAGTCCACGATGTGCTCGAGCCTGCAGTGCTGCTTGACACTGTGGTGCTCGAACTTGTATCCCTCGTCCTAGCCGTGCTGGACGGGTTGGTACTCCTGCGTAATCCTGTCCAGTCGTGCTGGTCGTCCAGGTACTCACTAGCCGTAGTATCCGATGTCGTCAGTCATGCCGCCCCCGCCTCTGCAGTACAGGAGGGTGCTGATCTCGGGGGTTGTAGATGGCGGTCGTTTGTAGGGCTGAGTGTAGGGTGTGGAGCGTGCTGGTCAGGTCGTTGGGGGGTCGGATCGTTGCTGGTGTTGCGTTGGTTGTGGGCTTCCAAGGCCTCCATGCACCGACTTCAAGTGGGGGTCTTGGCTGTCCCACCTCGTCCCGCTATGGCTAGGGGTCACAGTGCCCTCGGTGGGGGCGAACCCCAGGCCTGGTACTTATTATCGTCGGAGTGGGATGTCTCGGCTGTCCTGTGCTTCGCCCTCGGGCGCTCGGGTAGCTCCTCCTTCTCCATGGGAATGGTGGGGGTGGCGAGCTAGGGCGGACCGCGGGGGCGCAGGTAGTGGCCGTCCTACCCCCCCCCTGCCCCTCACCATCCCCGCTGGTGGGCGCGGGAAGTACTCGTCCTTCCCCCCCGCCCTTCGAGCCCGTCTCGAAGTTTGATCCTCACCAGGACAGCGTTGACTTGACAAGAGGTGTGCGGGGTCGTGCTGGGTATGCTGTCGATGTCGGTCAGTAGTACGACGGCGACGTGTGGACCGCCCGCGGCCAGCCAGCTGGTGTCCTCCAAGTTGTAGGTAGCCAGTCGCCGCCAGGGTACTCACAGCAAAACGTGGCGACTTGTGCCTGGGGTGTTCCCTCGCATTCGGGGCTTCCCCAGGACTTGCGTCCTAACCAAGGCAAAACTTGGCGACGCTGCCTGAGGTCTTCCCACGCATTCGGAGCTTCCTCAGGACTTAAACCATGGCGCCGTAGTGCCTGTCTCCCAGGAAGCTCTTTGCCGCGAATATACTGCCGTGTACATGCTGCTCTTGTCCAGGGCGCTGGATAATCATAGAAGTAAATGCCAGGGTTGAAAGAAAGCCAATAAATCCAGAAAGTGCTCGAGGGGGGGGCACGCTCCGTCGCCATTGAGGGATCGTGCCCACCCGTATGGGCGCTACGGGTCCCCCCCCTCGAGTATGGCACGCAATCGCTGTCCAAGACGAAGCCGTGCCAATAACCCAATAGTAATGCGGGTCTTGAATACCTACAGTAGGTGCACTGATGCTGACGCGCCTGCTGCCACTCTGAAATATTACCCGACTGTACACCATTCTGTAATACCAACTGCCCTCCAATCTGTAAGATGCCAATAGTCTGTGCTCCAAACTGCAATCTGATGGTCCCTTCCATGGACTGGCAAGTATGACTACTCCTGAAACAATTGAACCCGAATATCTGTGCAGGCAAACGTATTGCCGCTGCAGTGTCAGCTGCTAGCGCCGTTGGATACCCCATGTCCTGTGACAGTCGTGGCCCAGCTGCTCTGGCTCGATGTAGTAGCCCAGGGGGGCGTAGAACCTGTGATAGCATTCATCCGTTTCGGCCCACATTGCCTCTTCGTCAGCAAGCTGTCCCCAGTGGGCTGCGAATGCAGTTGCCATTGCCTTGCACAGCATTGAAGGATATTCTTTGAGGGGGGCGGTCCTCCAGCCGCCTTGGCCGTCTCGTCCGTAAGCTCTGTCATGTCCGTTATGTCGGCATAGCTGTCCCCCAGGTACCGCCCCCAGCTCCTGTGTAAGTTCACTGAGGTGCACCGCCATCAGGCATGTTGGCTTTCGCGCGGCCTGCCCAAACTGGCACTGGTCTATGTAGTGCAGTTCGACGCTCGTCTGCTCCAAAAGCCAGAGCGTCTCTGCTCGCTGCCAGCTGCTCGGCGCTTGAGGGCACCAAGTGGCTGGAGCGGGATGCTCGAGTACGGCAGATACATTGTACTGCAAGCCAGTGGTGATGAGTAGTAGGGCTGTCCTGTATAGCTCGTTGGCTAGTGCTATCTGTTGACGCTCCGATTGATTGGCCGCTTGTATGCCCCAGGGGAAGTCGTGTGTACGTAGTGGCCGTGGAGCTTTTCCCACGGCGGCATGCCAGCGCGATGAACACCACGTCTCGCAAGGGGGGCCAGCAACAATGCCAAATATTTTGCCCTGTCGTATCGCCGCGCACCAAAACTCGACGACGTCTGGCTTCGTCAGATCTCCTTTGTCGGGGTCTATCTGCACGTCGATCGATAATACTACCAAATTGCATTCCCGAGTGTTCATCTCGAAGTGGTGCTGGAAATCCTCGGTTCGGCGTCTGCCTGAGAAAAGGTGCAGTAAGAACATAGCCGTAGTAACCATGGGCCTGCACGGTGCGAATGCACTTGCAGGTGGCGTCGCTGGTCGAGGGTCCGCTGCTGCAGGCGGCGCCGGCGAGAGCTGGAGCTGATGCTGTTCGATGTAGTCGGCAAGCTTGATGTGTATGACCTGTTGGGCGGGCACCAGCGCCTTTGTAGCTCCATGACCCATTGCCTTCCTCGTCGCCACAGCCTCTCGTTCCTCTTCTCGGCGTTCGACTGCCTCCTGCAAATCCATTGGGACTTCAATTGCTTGGAGTACAGCCAGGCACCTGGGGCACCTTCTCAGGTGCTTGAGTATGCGCGATCGCGTTATGAAGTCCTTCCCACACCCAGGGCAGGTTGTCGAACGGGCGAGCAATTCGGGGAGGTCGTAGCCGATGTGCTCCATGGTGCGATGGCGCTTCCATGCTCCCCGAGTTTTTAGGATCTTGCCACACTCATAGCATATGTAGCCACTGTGTTGTGCAGGCGGCCGTCCATCGAAGTTGGGCGTGGTCAGTCCAAACTCTTGCGCTAGTCGGTGCAACTGCCTTTGCCATATTCGATGTCGGTATAAGTCGTGCTGCCATGCCTTGTACCTGAGCCACGCACGCGTGATCATGGCTTGTGCGGCTTGCACTTGCTGTGTTCGTAACCATCGTACCAAGCCCCTGATGTCGCAGCCAATGTCCTCGTCGTCTAGTAGGAATCTTCTTATCCAGTCCAGATCCTCGACGATAAGTGCATTCCAGGCTTTACCATCCCCCCAGAGCTCGTCGATGAGGCGGTGGAGGAAGGGCGTGCCTGCATGCGCCATTCTGGCCAAGTACATCAGGCGCCGTCGGCGCAGGTACATGTGGATCGGTACTTCATCGCATATCAAGTATATTTCGTCGTCCAAAGTATGTACGTACCCCGCACCATGTCGCTGTTGCCGTGCGGCGGCCCGTAGGCTCGCCATGTGTCTGCTCTGCAACATCTGTTTCTGCTGTGCTGTCAGCGGTCCCCGTACTTCGCAGTCGTAGGTCAGCTTGCTCTGCGCCAGTGCCGTGAGATACAGCAACTTGGCTTTGAGGTCGATGTGCGGCAGACGGAATATGGACTTCTTCAAGGGACCCTCTGCGGATCTGTGATCGATGATGCGTCTCATAAGGTTCGGCCCCTCACCGCCATCACTTGCCACAATATTGCCCAATGTGGGTCCCTGGGTCGTGACCTCAGCCGTGGTGGCATCAATGCTGGTCGGCAGCTGGCATTCCTCGCGTTGCAACGTGATGGGGCTTGTCTTGAAAATCTTCGCCTTGATATGTTGTTTGGCGTGCCCGTCAA